GTTTCTTTTTTTTTTTTTTTCAAGATTTCTAGCTTATAACATTTTTTCTTATTATATTCACACGCACTGTCAACAGAAAAAAGTTATGAATTAATAAATTACTGTAAAGTAAAAATGTCAAAAGAAAAAATATGAGTGCTCAGATGTGCTTCTTTCGTCTGAAGATCAGACAGTTGTGGAGACCCAATCACCACTGTTAGCACAAATATATCATCATAGTAGTCATTTGTGATTTATGCACCAGCCGGGAATCGAACCCGGGTCTGTACCGTGGCAGGGTACTATTCTACCACTAGACCACTGGTGCTTCTTTGTTAAGGTATTTTATATTTAGAAAGATATCACAGAGGTCAATGAAATCTTTGTACTTTTCCCTTTTTACTCCTTTGTTGATACTTGCATTGATGTCAAAAAGAGATTGAATGAAAAGACAATTTTTTAAATTGTCAAAGGACAATTTTATAATGTGACAAAGTGTAAACAAGTGTGCACACCAAGCATGATTTGAAATGTCTCCCTTTCCCTTAAGGTCCTGTTTGATAGTATTTCTTTTCCATGATACTAGGAATTTGTTTTCCATTTTCCACATTTTTGTTTGTTTGATAGGCAAAATTTTCTTGACAAATAGTTTTCCACCCAATCCCATTTTTGGTTATTGTTCTTGGTTTTTGAGGAAAAAATTTTCCCACCACTTGGTAGGAAAAGCTTTTTCTATGCAACTTTTTTTTTTTTTTCAATGGAAACAAATTTTATTCCTTTAATAAACAATTTTCATGAAAAATAAAGTCAAATGAATATCAAAAAATCCAAAATTTCAATATTTTTCAAACGAAAAATTATACTAATCAAACACAATTAATTGACAATTACTGGTCAAACAAGTTCTAGGCAATACAATTCTCTAAAATTCATTTTCTTTCCACTTAAATTTCATTTTTGCAATCAAACGGACCCTAACAAAAATTGATTTTTCCTCTTATTCACCCTTTTGAGTTTTATTAATAACAAAAACCCTATGGTGAGTTGTTAGTATTCAATCGGTGATACTGTCACGAGCAATCTAATGTGGGTCTCTAAGTGCGAATGTAAATTTATGTGGATAAGAGGGGAGCTGTGATCTCTTGATCATGTGACATTGTCGAATTTTGAGATCTACATTAGGTAATATTTAGCGAAACAGTGCCTAAGGCTAAAAAAAGGAAGAAGCACAAGAAGGACTGGGGATAATAGATATTAACAAGGACAACAATGAACAATCAATTAATACAGCCGACATAGTTAATAAATTAAATACAGAAATTATGGAAGTTTATTAATTTTAAAAATCATTCAATCTATTCGAAAATACACTAAAATGAAAGTCAACTATACCTTTCTTTCCCCTTCTTATTAAACGGCATTCTGTCTTTCCCCTTCTAGATGCCTTCTTATTCTTCGACTTTCTTCCCCCACCACAAATAGACCACATTCTCACATAGTCACTTAATACCTTTCTTAATTCTTCTCTCACGGTTACAATAACTCATAAGTCATAATATACCAAAAAATATATAGAGAGAGAGAGAGGTGGCGAAACTTACAGTTGAAAGACGAGAGTGATGAAATTGGAAAACTTAAGTATTTTGCTTCCTTGCTAACATAGTTAATAAATTAAATACAGAAATTATGGAAGTTTATTAATTTTAAAAATCATTCAATCTATTCGAAAATACGCTAAAATGAAAGTCGACTATGCCTCTCTTTCCCCTTCTTATTAAACTGCATTCTGTCTTTCCCCTTCTAGATGCCTTCTTATTCTTCGACTTTCATCTCCCACCACAAATAGACCACATTCTCACATAGTCACCTTTCTTAATTCTTCTACACATTATTTTTCTACTTTCTTCTCTCACGGTTACAATAACTCATAAGTCATAATATACCAAAAAATATAGAGAGAGAGAGAGAGAGAGGCGGCGAAACTTACAGTTGAAAGACGAGAGTGCTGAAATCGGAAAGTGGATTCCACATAAAATCGAGGAACTTAAGTATTTTGCTTCCTTGCTAGAGAGAGGTGGCGAAACTTACAGTTGAAAGTCGAGAGTGATGAAATTGGATAACTTAAGTATTTTGCTTCCTTGCTTCCTGTGTTTCAAGGATAAAGCATTTCAATATAAATGTATTTAACTGGTAAAGCTCGATGGCTATAAAGAGAAGATAGACCTTCTTTTCTTCCAGATTGTTGGGGCAAAAAACAGAGACGATAGAGAGGCCAGCGTCAGAGCTCGCCGCAACAAAAATCATAGGGAAAGGGGCAAACGATAGCAGGGCGACGAGGAGGGAGAACCAAGTTTGCAAAATGAATTGATTTGGAAATTGGAATGGTCAATTAATTGGTATTTGGTGGCTGGTGGGTAAATGACTAAATGGTAATGGATTTGTATCATTTGATAATTGTGCCTGATTTTATTTTAAAAACAAGAGGCCCAAAGTCCAAACGGCTGAAGTGTTTCATCTTCTTCCTTCCACTTCTTCCACATGGCGCTGGCGACGTCTGTAAACTTCAGCAGAGTCAACACACGTGGCAGTGCCCTCTCGCCGAGTGCTGGCTACGCCACTGTCCGTGGCATCAGGAAAAGTATGAGTCGATGGCCATTGAATGAATGGAGTTTAGTTTCAAGTATTTTACAAATAGCGACGGTCGAAGGTAAAATGTTATTGTATTAAGGTTGGGGTGTAGGCATGTAACCGCTTGGTGAATCGATTTGGCGCTTTTTAGGGTTACATGTATATAACAACTTATATAATGATTTATCAAAAGATGATGTGACGAGATTTAATTGGATCAAAATCTCATCAATTAAATAACTTTTCAATTTATATTTTGACACATCATTATGTAAAACATTATGTAAATAGTTATGTACAAGAAGCATTTTCCCTTTTTTTTGTCTTATTTTATTTATTAATTATTTAAATAAAAGTAAGGGTATGATAATCTTTTTTGATAAATAAAAAAGGAAAAGTCAGAACAGACTCCCAACTTTTTATGTGATGTGATTATGGGTCACCACCTTATTAAAATATATGAATCCGAATTCATACGTGATTGAAATCGTCAATTTATATGTTAAAATCGTAAGCAACTTTCAATTGATTTGAAGGTTGGTGGCAAAACTATCAAACAATTTAATATTTATGTCAAATTCAATTGAAGTTGAGTGTGATTTTAACTTTTACATTGATAATTTCAATCAGACACAAATTTATAAAGGTTACAGACCTAAAGATTGGAGACTCATAGTCACACTACGTGAAAAAATAAGGAATGGAGTCCTAATTATCCCATAAAAATTGATTTTTAACTATCAAATAAACGGAATATGATGGTAAGAACTATCTACGCACCAAAAGATTCGTATGAGGACATCACAAGATTGAAAAGATATGTTCCATTTCTACATAGCGTCCATAGATTGGAGACCGTTTGTGCAAATAAACCTCCTTTTACTTTATTATTAGGCTTGGTTCTGATCAATCAAACCGAGCCCCAATCAACAGTCATTGTCCTATTTTTTTTTTAAAAAAAGGCAATTCCTTCCACCACATCCACAGGGGCATTTTCGTCCCAAATCCACTTATAAAAACACTGTCCTGCAAACCCATCACCTCCCCTCATTAAACACAGTCACGACTCTCACACACACACTTTAGCTTTGAAACACCTTCTATATACATACACCTACATTTTCATATACATTATATAGAAGACAAACATGAAACTGACCAGAGATTTCTTGGTCAGACTCACGGTGCTACTCGCCATTACTTTCACTGTCAATGCCTGCCCACCGGCAGACCGGTCAGCATTGGTAGCGTTCAAGGCAGCACTCAACGAGCCATACTTGGGCATATTCAAAACATGGTCCGGTACCGACTGCTGCAACAGCTGGTACGGCATCAGTTGCGACCCCGAAACTAAACGGGTCGCCGACATTTCCCTCCGGGGAGAATCCGAGGACCCGATTTTCGAAAAGGCCGGCCGATCTGGGTACATGACCGGTTCACTATCTCCTTCCATCTGTCAGCTCGATCGGCTTACCACCCTCGTTGTTGCCGACTGGAAAGACATCTCTGGCGAAATCCCGACTTGCTTATCCTCACTTCCCAACCTCCGCATTATTGACCTTGTCGGAAATAAAATCTCCGGCAAAATTCCGGCGGATATCGGCAAGCTGAGTAAACTCACTGTGTTGAACCTGGCCGATAATCAAATATCAGGTTCGATCCCAGCTTCCATTGTTAACCTCAACAGCTTAATGCACCTTGATCTCAGTAGCAACAAACTCACCGGGGCGATTCCATCCGACGTAGGCAAATTGTCCATGATGAGCCGTGCTTTACTGGGTCGAAATCAAATCACCGGTTCAATCCCAGTTTCTCTTTCCAAAATATATAGACTCGCCGATCTAGATATATCGATGAACCAAATAACCGGTACCATCCCGGCCGAGTTCGGGTCAATGCCGGTTCTCTCAACCCTAAATTTAGACAGTAACCGACTTTCGGGTGAGATACCGAAAAGTTTACTAAGCAACTCGGGTTTAAACATTCTAAACTTGAGCCGAAACTCACTAGAAGGCTACTTACCCGATGTTTTTGGTCCCAAAACTTACTTCACAGCACTCGACATATCGTATAATAATTTGAGGGGTTCGATTCCAAAATCAATGTCGTCGGCTAAGTACATCGGCCACTTGGATCTGAGTCACAATCATCTTTGCGGGTCGATTCCGCACGGGTCGCCATTCGATCACCTCGAAGCCTCATCATTCGCCAACAACGACTGCCTGTGTGGATCTCCACTATTACGTGTTTGTTAATTATTTTTAATTTCTATATTATTATCGTACTTGTGATTTTTAATGTTATCGTCGAGCAACGGTTATGTGGTTGCATCACGTGAAAATGTGCTACAACTTTTAGTGGGCAAAGATTTTGTGCTTTATTAATTATTACAATAAGGTTTGTTTTAATTATTATAATTATTTTGTTATAATGTGACAAGGAAGATTTGTGTCCTTTTGATTTTAAAGTGGAAATGGCATCATTTACCACAACCTTTACAAGTCAATTTCATTTTGGGTAAAATTTATGCACAACGGTCATTGAAGAAATCATATTTTGTGGAAATCATTGTGTTGGTAAAGACACAAGTTGTCCATCATAGTTTGATCAAGTTGCGCCACAGCTTGTCGAATGGGACAAAAATATAAATGTTTGAGATGACATAAATAAGGTTGATCTCGAGACAAATTATTAATTGTCACGTTATTCTTGTCCATATAAAATGAATAAATTTTATTCGTGATAATTGTACGTTCACGTCATTTATAGTTGTACATACTTTAGTTCTATTTCAATCGGATAATTTCAAATTGTGGAAATAGATGATATAGAAGTCGATGAATGATACGTGTCGTTTTTTTAATGAAATTGTACTTATTTCACATCAATAAAAAATATTTACTCAATGATAAAAATCTTTTATTGACTACCATGTCATTGAATATTGTTAGTGAAATTGGATAAAATTAGTTTGATTGGAATAACCCAATTGATATTATATTGAATAAAATTGAAGTACATTTACATGATGAAAATCAAATTATAGTACAGTTATAATGAATGAAATTTACTAGAATAAATAACTTGTTGTGAAAAAGGTAAAAATAATGTACGGTAACAAAGGTCTTTGGTTCGAATGGTGAAGTAAAAGTTAAAGAATTGTGGTCAATCATGCTAGACGTCACTTGGCGCCCTAGTGCGTCCAAGGCCGTCTAGCTTAATTCGATTGTGGTTGCTTTATATGTACTAATATACAAATGTATTTGATATACATTATTATATAGAACTTGTTGACGTGATTACTTCACATTTACTTTCATGATCATTACAACATTTCAATCCACTTTCCATAAGATGGTCGAGCTAGGAGGTTGACCATTGTATGGATCACTGGTACCTAAATTAGTGCATGACTATATGAAAGTGCATAATTACTTTCAAAATGCCCAAAATGAATGAGATTTTTCCTCGTATAGTTTGAGGAAGTGAGAGATGTAATCGTAAGTCTCCAGCTTCAAAGTCAGTTAACGAACTCAAAGTTCAAATTTGTTCGATTGGCGAGTTTAATTAATGGTTTCTGATAACAGTTGTGCTTGGTGTACACCACACCAAGTTCGATAGTTAAAAAAAAAAAAGGATTTCCCTCCACTCATTTTTTTACAACACATCAAATGTCAAGCAAGATGTTTGGAGTGTACATCTAGCGTTTTCGTTCTAATAATATCGACACGTTAATTTGTATGTTTCAATGCACGTGAGATATCGTCATTCTTGACATCACTTCAACAAGTCTTATCACAAGTCAAGTTGTCATGGTTATTTAGAGCTATCATCTCCACCTCCAATCTTTTGTCATTCTAACAAATTATTTAGCTTGCACGGAAAAATTCACTATCCATTTACCAAGTGAATGCACGAGCTTGCATGAAATGCGGGTGGGCCTACGATCTTTATTTGGGAATAATCCAAGAGTGCCTTCCTAAGTAAGGCATCCTTCAATGTAAATCCTAAATGGAGTGGGCTTGAAGTAGACTCCGAGACCTAATTTCGATGAATTATGGTGGATGTGCTCTCCCATTAGATATAACTTTTGAACAAAATAGTTGCATCTCCCTACATTGTGATATTAGAGGTGAAGGTCTCAAGTTCGAGTTAATGTTTGAAGCATTTTCACAGAACAATTGTATAATGCATAAACGTGCTTGAAATAGGGGTGATCACATTATCGATATTTGGAAATACAGAATAGGATGTGTAATTCGAAGTTAAGACTGAAAATGATTATGGGTGAAGCTATAACTTTTGAACAAAATGATTATATCTCCCTACGTCATGAGTCGAGATCAATGATGCGAAAAAGTGTAGTAGATAAACTCGGAGATTTTTTTTAAGAAAAAGGCACATGCATGGCAGGGACCGAGAGAACCAAAAGTGGGAAGCATTAAACAATAAAATTAGGACGAAAAAACAAAGGTCAAGGTGTTGCATGTTGAAATCCCATGTGACCTGCCAGCCTGCAAATGAACATTTATTTGTGGACCCAACTTCACTAATAATGACATTTCCTCACAATATAATAATACCCAATAATAAATATGCTTAGCTTAGCCCCTGTTTGTTCGTCATTTTAAGGAAAAATCTGACCGTTGGGGAGGGATTTAGCCACCATTTTTTTACCAAGCTCACTCACGGTGGGACCCACGAATTTGAAAAAAAGGGTCAAAAAACTCATTTGTAAAAATAATGTCTAACATACTTACATACTACGTTATTCCTATTCAGTTAATTTCACTAATGGTCACTAAAATTTACACTTAGTGTCATCTTGCCACTGCACTTGAATTTGTTTCAAGATTAATCACTAAATTTTACAAAATATTTCAGTCACACCTTTGATTCAGCTTGACATCCATTTTTAAACATAAAAATTCATACTTGAACTAACGATTTGACGACTTGGGACATGGATGTATATACTTTTCAGTAAAAAATGAACGTAAAATTTCGGTGGCCAAACATTGGGAAAAAAAAAATGGTTCGCAAGAACTGCTGACAGAATCTCTAAGTTCACTGCATTTAAAAAATTTATAAATTAAATTAATCATTTAGTTTAAAAACTGAAAATAATACATTTAAATTTTATATTGAGTCCAAATAAATCCTTCCGACAACCTAGCGACTACGCCATTGGGTCTTGTCCCAATCCTACATAAATACAGCAATAATTGAATGGATCATTTTACGAACGAAAAGTTAAAGATTTCTTGAAGCAATGCAATTATTTTCATTGTTTTCCGGGACTCCGTTGAATTTGTCAATTTTTAGGCTCCCTTTGATACCCCATATTTTTCATGAAATTTTTTTTTCATTTTCCAACTTTGTTAGAGTTTGATAGGCAAACTTTTCCTGGAAAAATGTTTTCCAACTTTCTAAATTTTTCACTTTTTTGAGGAAAACAAATTCTTGATGTTTTGGTTGATAAATTTCTAGGTTTTTTTTTTTTTTTTGGTAATTGGAAAAAATTCTAGATACAATGGTAAAAAAATTTATCAATTAACAATTTCCATGTTAAACAAAACCAAACGAATGATATTCAGTATGGTAATTTTTTTTCAAATTTTTTTTTTTTTTTTGGCAATTGGAACAAATTTTAGACCCAATGGTAGAAAAATTTAAATCACTTTTATTGACAATTTCCATATAAAATAAAGCCAAACGAATAATATTCAGTATGGTAATTTTTTTTTAATTGGAACAAATTCTAGACTCAATGGTAGAAAAAATTATCACTTTAATGGACAATTTTCATAAAAAAAGAAACCAAACGGATACCAAACTTTCAACATTTTTCATGAAAAATTATAGCAATCAAGCACAATTAATTACAATTTCCAATAATACAATTTTTAGGCAAATCAATTTCCTATAAAACATTATCTTTTCACCCGTTTTCCACATTTACAATCCAACAGACCCCTTAGATGAACAACCCTTTCCCTCGTACTCTTCTAGATTAATTATGTTCTCTTTAATTTTAAATAATTATACATAAAGTTATGACAAATTAAGTCATTTCCATCCCTTAATGAATTAAATTAAATGGATCGCGGGCAGGGATATAGCCAAAATATTCGAGTTGTGGGGACAAATGAAATGATAATATAAATAAATATCAATTTAAAGTTATAAAAATGCCCAAACATCGCATTTCCTGGTAGGGTCGAACATCAAGCCCGGCCATGCTTGGAGAGGCCTCTTCCGACTTCCACCCCTACTCAAGTTCTACTACATCAAATGGGAGCAAACCATCATTTGTATCATAATTTACAATCTAACCAATCTAATCTTAAAATTTAATTGCTCGTTTGAACTTTAGATCGATCGAATTACTTATTTGAACTTTATATAATATCATAATGACTTAAATTTCTTTTCAAAAAGGTCAATCGTGTT